CCCAACCATCCTGACTTCCGGGCTGGCTGTGCTGCCTCAGGCCCTTTGTACGTGTGCTTGCCTCTGCCGAGGGTTCTCACAGAGATGGCCCCCTCCTCAAGAGGGACTCCAGATCTCAGGTCCAGTCTGATCCCTCACAGCACAGCAAAGAGGTCGGCTGGGGGAGCTGAGGCCCCAGCCTTTCTTGGAGATAGTTGCCACCAAGGTCAAAGCCACTGTAGGGGCAGCTGAAAGAACCAGGAGAGAGGAAGGGAGTCTGGGGGGGGGGGGCGGGGGGAGTGGGGAACCAGGGTATCCAGAAGCAATTTTAACCCCTCCATTGCTGAGTGTGAACAGAACAGTCCCAGTGGAGGAAAGGCAGGGAAGGGATTGTGGGGTGCAGCCTGCCATTCCACGGTTGGCTACACATGATGAGTGAGGCTGGCTGTGAATTCTGACCAACTGCCAGGAACAAGTTCCTTTCTGGGGATGTGATGATCACGCAGCCTGCCCTCTCAGCTTCAGGGCTGTCTGTCCCTGGCACAGCATGGCCAGTTTTCCCAGAGACAGCCAGAGCCTGCCTGGCCTTGGCCAGCATCTCCTCCTGGGCCTGACCCTTCCTCTTCCCCAGGATGGAGATGATCCAGGTGGCCAGCGAGCCAAGCCAGGGCTTCCCCTACAACACGTGGACAAGGCTGGCCCACCGCCGAGCTGCCTTGCTGAATAATATAGGGAAGGGCCTGAACATCAGGCTAGACCCCTGACACGGGCACCCCAACGGAGGGAGCCGGGGAAGCCGACAGGTGCAGCCAAGCCAGGTGCGAACAAGGCATGGAGCAGAGAGAGGCGGCCAGAGCCGTGTGTATGCCACGAGGACTTCTCCTTATAGCCACTGCCTCCACCAACCCACTCCAAGCCACCTGCTGATGACAAGTGGAGTGTCCTAGGTGCAGAAAGAAGCACATCGAGGGTCAAGGTACAGAGGTCAAGGTGCTGAGCAAGGGTCATGGTGCTGAGCAGGGGAGGGCAGGAAGTTGCAGTGGGCAGCACGGAAGTTTTCAAGGAAGAAATGAAAGGTTCCAATTTATGGTGCAAAAGGATCCCCCACCCCAACAACTGTGTGGAGAGCAGACTATGGGGCTTGCAGGGCCCCACTCAGGGGGACACTGCCTGAAAGACCTGAAGGTCATTTGCACCAGGAGGTGGTGCAGAATGGGCGTGCGGGGGGGGAGGGTGGGACTTAGGAACCCATAGTGGATCAAGTGGAGACTGTAAAGAAAGAAGGGATCAGAGAGCACCTGGCACCTGCTGTGTGCCAAGCACAGTGTGGGGCACTTAGCGGTGTAGCATGCTGGGGCGATGGAGCTGGCACCTGATGGGACAGAGAGCATACTCCAGATGATTGTGTGTGAGATGCTGGAGCCAGGGCTACTGTGCTGCAGGAGCCAGTGTGGTGGGAAAGGGTACATTTATAGGGCTCCTCTGAAAATAGTGCCTATTGCCCCAAGCTGTGCAGTGCGAGTAACTCCCAGTGGTGGCGCTCACGGGGCCAATTCACCTCCCCCTGGCTGCCTTCCCTTCCCAGTCTCTTTCACCCATTCCACTCCAGGTACCTCACTGACCCCCACCCCCAAATTACCAACTTGTGCTTGAGCCCTTGTCTCGGACTCTGCTTCTGGGAGAGCCCAAAGGGAAACAGAACCTCCCCAACACACAGGCGGGGAACCGTAGCCATGCTGACTGGGTTTGAGCTCCAACTCCTTGGCACGTGCTGGCATCTCCAGTTCCCAGCAGACTTCTGCTCCGATGGCCTGACAGACTCTGTGTTCACAGCAGGACCCCAGACAGTGCAGCCCCCCAGGCTCCTGATGCTGTCCTCCAGCCAGCTCCAGCCTCACGCTTGGAAAGCATAGTCCACGTATTTGTCATCTGGGGCTAAATATACAAGGATCATAGCCTGAGTCATAGGGCTATTTTCAGATCAGACTCACTATGCTCCGTGGAGGGGTGCTGTTTCTGATCCCCCTCCTGGGGGCTTAATGGTTCAACCCTGGAAAGCCCACACACACACACACACACATTCCACAGACTGCCTGGCACCTTCCAGCAACACCACCCCCCCAAAGGCTCAGCCACTGTCCAGAGCTGAAAACTGGGCACCTTCCTAGGGCTGGATACTCCCCTCTGGAAGGCTACAGAAGCGGGAGCCGGAATCAGTTCATCAGCATGAAGTCTCTTCCAGGAAGATGGGGCTGTCCCTGCTCCAGGGGAGGCAGAGAGGACTTGAGTGGCCCACTCAGGGCTCCATGAGCAGGGCCGGGAACCTGTGCTGGGTGATGTGCCTGACCCCCACCTGCTCCCCAACACCTCTCAGCAGTGTGTTTATGGGGCGGATGGGAGTGACATGCAAGGGTCTCCAGGGGCTAGGCTTGGGCCCAGGGCCTCTGCCCCCTCACTTGGGGAGCTGGCTTCTCTTTCCCTGGGAGAAAGGTGAGAGAGAGAAAAGATGGCTGGCCTGCCCAGGCCCCACTGCTGGTCTGCTAGGTCACCCAGGCCCCTGCCCCTGTTGCCCTCCATCCACCACTGTCGAGGACGAGGTGGTGGTCTGTGTCTTCTGGGTTGTGTCTTCCTGGCAGTGTGGCCTCCCTTGGGGCATGTCAGGGGGAGTTGGTAAGAAGAGGGTCTCCCTGGCCCAGTGCAAACCCCCACCTGTCTGCTGCTCCCTTAAGACCCTCCCACAAGCTCTCTCCACCCAGGTCCAGCAGCAGCCCCACTGCCCGACACTCCAACCTGGGCACCACTTCTCTAGGACCCATCTCTTCCCTGCTTTAAGCACCCACAGAAGAAAAGCTAAGCTTCCCAGACCACCAGGTTTTCTGAGTTTATCCCACAGGATTGCTGCAGGCCCCACACCTGGCCACTTCTTGCCCACCTGTTCCTTTTGTCTAGAACTTTCTCATCTGCCTGACTCTTGTCCAACCTTTGAGATACCTGAGTCCCCCCCCACCCCCGTCCCATACCGAGTGCCACCATCACCCAACTATGTCCCAATGATGTATTTTATTCCCATGCAGGAAGTGAGGGCCATGTTTATTTAACGCCTCCTACATTAGAGATCTCGGCATGGTGCCTGGCACAGGGCAAACTTTGGTCAATGTTCAATGCTGGCAGTTGGTGTTTGGTCCATCCGTTAGGACTTTCTCAGTGTCTGGACTTGAACTCTGCCTCTTCTCCGAGTTCCAGGTTCCTGCTCATGCAGAACCTGGGGACAGCAGGTGATACTCCCGTGCTCGAGTCCTTGCTGCCCACATTGGGACCTGGCAGTTGGCGTTTGGTCCGTCCATTAGGACTTTCTCAGTGTCTGGACTTGAACTCTGCCTCTTCTCCGAGTTCCAGGTTCCTGCTCATGCAGAACCTGGGGGCAGCAGGCATACTCCCGTGCTCGAGTCCTTGCTGCCCACACCGGGACCTGGCTGTTGGCGTTTGGTCCATCCGTTAGGACTTTCTCAGTGTCTGGACTTGAGACACTGAGATACCTAGGGACAACCTAGATACCTAGTGAAATCTATGAATCCCTTCTCAAAGTATTCTTTTACTCTTTTTTCTGTACTTTAAAAAAAAAAAAGCCTATTTACTTTTATTTATTAAAAAAGCAGGGCAGGCAACATGATAGCATAGTAACTAAATCCTCGCTTGGCATACACCTGGGATCCCATTTAGACACCAGATCATATCCCAGCTGCTCCACTTCCCAACCAGCTCCCTGCCTGTCATTGTCCTGCAGCAATGGACTTGGTGCACGGAGCTGATAATAACACGCGTGGACCCTGACTGGTGGTCAAAGCCGAAGTTTATTAGTGGCATCAGACTTTATACTCTGAGAGTCCCTATGGGGTAGGGGAGGAAGTATTGAGCTCATCAACAAAACCCATTTACTGTTTTCCTACTCTTGATTGGAATTCCTTTTGTTTTGTATATTACACCAGGTGTTCTCATTTACATGCTGTTCATACAAAGGTAGCCATTTGGTTGTTCTCATGCAAATACTGTCCAATGAACTGCAAGCCTGTGCTCGCTGACCTTCCAGGGTCACAATGTCCTCCTACACCTGCCTGTGGCCTGGGAAAGCAGTCGAGGACGGCCCAAAGCCTTGGGACCCTGCACCCACGTGGGAGACCCAGAAGCAGCTCCTGGTTCCTGATCAGCTCAGCTCGGTCTGTTATGGCCACTTGGGGAGTGAACCAGTGGACAGATCTTTGTCTCTCCTTCTGTTTGTAAATCTGCCTTTCCAATTAAAAAACAATTGAATCTTAAAAAAAAAAAAAAAAAAGGCAGAGGCAGAAAGAGACAAGAGATCTTCCACAAGCTGATTCCATGTCCACAGCAGCCAGCCAGGGCTGGGCTAGGCTCTGGTCAGGACCTTGGGACTCCAGCTGGCTTTTCCCAAGTACGGGACAGGGGCCCAAGGACTTGGGCTGCCACCTGCTGCCTCCCAGGGTGAGCATGAACGGGAAGGTGGAGAGATGACCTAAGGGACTCAGAAGACACAGCATCCCAAGCACCAGACGCTCAGAGTCAGGCTTCTCAAAGGCACGAAACAAAACCGAGCAAATGCGATTTCACTGAAAAGGCTGTCAAAATATTTTTACGTGGAACCAGTGACTTAGAACTGAGCATGCTTCTTTGTAAACACATTATAAGTAACAAGAGCCTACATGGCGGGGCGTGTAGAGAATATTGCGGAGTATCTGCTGCACCTGTCTGGGGCTGGGCTGACACACACGGCTGCCAGGATGGCACCGATTCCGAGCCACAAATAGGGCAAATGAGAGCCCTTTGGGGATGCTGCTGTAAACTGCAGTGTAAACTGCTGCATCCCAGGTGTTCACATGAAGCTGGTCCTTTGTCCCCATCCAGGTCGAAGGGCCTGCTAAACTCTGGGGGCTCCTGGGGGTGGGGAGGGTCGTCCACCCTAGTCTCTCCTCCATCAAGCTGCTCACAGGCCCGGGTTCTCCCCGCAGGCTCCCTGTTCCCGCAGCTGAAGCCATCGGAGGGCGTCTTCAAGGTCATCTTCTGGCTGGGCTACTTCAACAGCTGTGTGAACCCGCTCATCTACCCGTGCTCCAGCCGCGAGTTCAAGCGCGCCTTCCTCAGGCTGCTGCGCTGCCAGTGTCGCCACCGCCGCCGCCGTCGCCCCATCTGGCGCGTCTACGGCCACCACTGGCGGGCCTCGAGCACCGGGGCAGGTCCGCACCCTGACAGCGCCTCCAGCCCTGGCGCCGTGCTGCCCGGGGTCCCGCTGGCCCTCACCGGCCCCGGTTGCCCCGCTGCGTCCGAGGGGCCGGCTGCGGCCACTGGCGGGCGTCGCAAGGCGCCCTCGGCCTTCCGCGAGTGGCGGCTGCCCGGGCCCCTGAGGAAGCCCACCACGCAGCTGCGGGCCAAGGTCACCAGCCTGTCGCACAGGATTCGAGCTGGGAGCGCACAGCGCGCCGATGCCCCGAGCGCGATGCGTTCGGAAGTGGAGGCGGTGTCCCTGCGTGTGGCCCAGCACGTCGCCGAGGGCACCACCTGCCAGGCCTACGAGTTGGCAGACTGCAGCGACCTCCAAGAGACTGACATTTAAAAGGCTGTGCCCACCCCTCCCCATCCCCTGCTCCTCACCCCCGAGGTTGGCAGGATCAGACAGGCTAGCAGGCAGGTAGTCTGCCACGCCTTGATCCCTGGATGTTCAGGAGACGGGGCTGCCTGCCCCCGGGACCTCCCGTAGGGAAGAGCCGGTGGGGCCGGGTCCCCTCCTGGGTGAGTTGTTGGGATACGTAATTTCTCCTGAGTACAGACAGGAGGGAAGCAGGGCACCTGCAGCCAGCACCCAGGGTTCTGGGGCAGCAGATGACCGGGCCATCACACCAGTCCAGTCTGGCGTGTTGCCCACGGGACAATCTGCAGCTCCCCACGCTCTCCCTGCGCACCCTCCTCCTGGCCCTCCCGGCTCTCCCCGCCAAGGGCCCCCACTGTTTACACTCTATGCCTGCTGCGTCCATCACTTCTTGCTGGGATTCCAAGCTGCCCACTGGGGATGGCTTTTAGTTTGTCATTTTGAGACATATTTATTGGTGAGAGTACTTCTATTTTGTCCAAACTGTGCAAGCTGTCCCCTCTTTAGCCAATAACCCTTAAAGGACTGGTTTGTTTTGTTTTCCCATACGATCTCTCAAGTACTAAATATCCACAACAGGATTGATGAGGTCTATTTGACCCTTCTGGTTTCTAATTCATGGCTGCTGTCCTCGGAGAGTTTTACCCCGATGGGCAGACACGGTTTCATTGGCTTCTAAAGTCCACGTGATCCATCCTGGAGAGGAACTAGTCAGTCTCTCGAGATGCGTCCATTCGTGACCTTCGAGAAGATGGGTACCCGCCGGCTGGGGGCAATGGGGGAATGTCAAGGGCCTGGGCCAAATGAAACTCCACAGTGTTCCTCGGTCTAGCCCTGCCAAGGCAACCACAGGCAGGACTCAACATTCAGTCGATCAAAAGCAGGCTCATTTTTAAGTCTACGATTTTGTGTGGCCCACACCACATGGCCAGCCCCTGAGAGGACAGAGCAGCCCCAACTGTCAGGTGCACCTGGCTGGTAAGAGAACCTTGTTTGCGAACCATGCCGGTTAGCTTTGATTGCAGACGCTTCGATCTGAGAGTGATGGCCGTGGTCCTGTGTTACCTGCAGGACAGGCAGAGCTGGCTGAAGTTACCTTGGGGAGCTCTGACCTTGGGAAAGCTCTTGTCAGGGCCCCTAAGGACCAATATGCAGAGCTGAAATTTCCCAACCCACAGTGGCCAGGTAAGCCTGTGTGTGAAAGGTGTCCCTGCATGGCCACCCTAGTTTTGCAAGATGAAGAAGACAGGGGCTACTGGAAGCAGACATCCCCTCCCTGGGACCAAGTGTGCAGGTTTGGCCTGCCCCTCAGGGAACAGGAAGGGCAGCGCATAGTGGGCAAACGGAACCAGCTGCGTGCCCCCATCTTCACACAGCACTCTCCGGAAGTCAAGGACAGCAGGGGCAGTGTGAGATACCTTCTCACAAAGGCCAGAGTCAGGTCAGTGATCCCAGGGGCAGAGGATTGCATACAGCTGGGCCAGGCCTGGCATTGCAGGTGTGGACACAGGAAGGGTGTCTGAGCCAACCAGTGTTGGCATTCATGGCACAACCGCAGTGGGCACAAGAGAGCAGGGTGGGCAGAAGTCCTCGCTGGGAGGATGCGGGGGTCTGTGCCCTGCAGGCCGCAGGGGGAGCAGGGACGGGAAGCTGGCTGAGGACTTGCTGTGGACACAAGGATCCATCTGCATTGTAGATCAGCAGTCGCAGCCTCTAGCCACACAAGGGCTTGCTCTGGTCCCCTCTGTCCCGAGCAGTGACTGAGTCTACAGGAAGTGTGCGAGGGCGCCAGGCACCAGCAGGTGCATCAGGGACCCTATTCTGCTCTTCCATAAAGCTCTCTGCTGCTGCCCTTGGCCTTGCGATGAAGGATTGTAGCCTCTAAGCCAAAAAGCCCAGAGGGAGAAGCCCCAGTCTGGGAAGGATGGGGAGGAGACGTGGGGACCGTCCGGAGGAAGTGCACCCCTGTGCCATTTGTTGGTTCTTCAGGTGCCTCTACACGCCCCTTCCCACCACCCACGCTCAGCAGATACAGGCAGTCCCAGAGCAGCTGCAATGCAATACACAGGAAGCAGGGACTCCTGTGTGGGGCGGGAGTAAGGAAGAGTTGGCGAGTGGGAAAGGGGCAGAAGCAAGCAGGGACCCTGGCATTTGCCCAAGTGCCTCCCCCTTACAAAGCTGTCTTCCAGTGTCCCACCCTGGACTGCAGCTTCAGTGCGTCCTCCCTCCAGAGCCGGGCTCTTCCCACCCTCCATGCCTGCCCTCCCTCCACAGAGCTGGGCTGTTGCCACCTGCTGTGCCCTACCCCTCCCTCCAGAGCTGTGCTCTTCCCACCAACCATGCCTGCCCTGCCTCCACAGAGCTGGGCTGTTGCCACCTGCTGTGCCCTGCTTCCCACACCAGTCCTGGGACCAGGGCCACTCCGACAAGTCCCCTGGGTCTCTCTGCACGGTCTACCCTGGCAGCGGCCCTTGCTTTGCTTCCTGAACTGTCCGGTACCTGGACCCAGAGCTTGTCGGGGGCCACAGACTCCTCTCTCCCAGCCTGTCAGTGCCCCCCACCCAGTCTCACTCCTCGCTTCCTCCCTCTCCATACAGTCTCGTCCCTCCCCATTGGCTCAGTAATCACTCATGCCTAAGTGACGCCTGGGGAGCACTGGTGCTTCTAGAGTCTGCAACACACCACCCCCCCAACACACACACACACACACACACACACACACACACACACACACACACACACACACACAGACCTGAGACCTCGTACACAGACCTCCGGTTCCACACTGAGCCCTGGACACCCGTGGCGCCCCTGGGGGCTCACACCTGGTTGGCTGGTGAATTGGACTCACTGACCAAGTCCATTTTTGGGCCCACAAACACTGAGTCAGGTGTACCAGGGCCCCAGTGGGGACTAGCCATACTCTCAACCCTCCGTCCTTCCACCCTGCCCCCAGAACCCTGGCTCCTGCAGGCTCCCACGGGCACCTGCCCACCCTGGTGGGGCCCAGGACCTGGGTCCTTCTCGCTTCGTGCCCTGTCAGATCTGCACCCCCTCCACATCCTCCTGACCCCGCTTCTATTCCCATCCTCTGACACCCCCAGGGGGTTACTTGGTCTCCATCCACTTGGAAAGAATTTCCCTTTTTTTTTTTTTTTTTTTTCCTTCCTTGTGGCTCTGGGGAAGCAGAAAACCAGATGCTTGTAAAGGCTAAACCCATCCCCACAGTTGCTCAGCCTGAAACAGTTCTCTGGGGCCTCCAGGTAGTACTGGGCTTCTGCAGGGCCTGCCCAGGGGGTTCTAGCTCACCCTCCTTCCCAGCTGCCACCCTGACCTTGGAGGACAACAGGGAAATGAAGGGACCACTTTGTGGGACTCCAGGGCACAACCTACCATTGCTGTGCTCTGGGAAGAACTGAGCAGAAGTGGCAGAAGACAAAAGCCTGAAGCCTGAGGCCGTGGCAGCCTGAGCTCCCGGGGCCTGGAGCCCCCAGGAAGGAGGCCTGTGCAACACATAGCATGTGTGGTTGTCAGAGAGGCCCCCAGATCCGCCATGCACATGACCCTGGCCTGATCTGTCCCCAGATTCCAACGGGCATCAGTCCCGGAGAGAAGGAGGATCCCACAGCGCTCACTGGCTAAACACTGGGTTGGGTTCTGGGAGGGAGCAGGCAGGTGGGAGCGGGGTGGGTCCTGGGGGATGAAACACAGCAATGGGGGGCACCAAAATGGAGCGTCCATCTGGGAGGTCATCTAAAGGCAGGCGGCCTCTCCGGAAGGAGACGGTTGAGAACCTGTGACCGTGGTGACAACAGCGCAGCTGGCTCTCTGCGGTGATGAGGCAGTCAGCAGTGTGCCTACAACCCCCCCCCCCCCCGCCCTGGGATCTTAGGAAAGCCAGATTCCCAGTGCAGGGAGGGAAGCCTGGGGCTCTGCATTTCCATGGTGTTCTGGAAAGCCTGGTGCCCCCAGGCTGGGACCACAATGATAGTACCCAGCTTACACACTGGACTTGTGTAAGGTATGACACAAACATGTGGCCTTACATGGAATGCAACCAGGAAAGGAGGGGGGGGAGAAGAGCCACGCCCTCTACAGAAAGGACACAGGCCCTGGCCATGGGCCACAGTGCAGCACCAACTCCTCCTCTTGGCCGGACCCAACAGTGGCTGCACTGTGGAGGATCAGAGTAGGGATGCAAGGTCGACTTCACCCAGTTGGGGATCTGTCCTGAGCCAGTTGAGGAGCCCCCTAGCACCCTCTGGAGATGCTGGGGAGGAATGGGGTCTGCAAGGCCCCAGGACCAAAAGGAGGCTGCATTAAGTTTTCACAAGTCTGTGCATGAGAAAAGAGAGCGAAGGTGAGTAATGAGCGGGGCGGTGGAGGGGAGGGGAGGGGGAGGGGAGGGGAGACCATGTGTGTGCAACATGGCAGCGGGGAGCCCTCACGCCTTGAACTCATGAAGAGAAGTCTGCTCTACTCCACAGCTGGTCAGCCCTTCTCCCACCAGAAACATGTGTACATTCGCTGGACAGCGTGCTAGAATGCTCACAGCTGTACTACCGGCTGATTGTGTGTTGATTGATTTGAGAAGCCGAGAGAGTTGGAGAGGCATCTTTGATCTCCTGGCTTCCTCCCGCAATGCCTGTAGCCAGGGACTGGGCCAGGTTGAAGCCAGGAGCCAGAAGCTTCTTCTTCCGGGTCTCCCACATGGGTGGCAGGGGCCCAAGACTTTGGGCCGTCCTCGACTGCTTCCCCAGGCCACAATGAGGGAGATGGATGGGAAGTAGAGCAGTCAGGACATGAACTGGCACCCACGTGGCAACCTGGCACTTGCAAGGGGAGGATTTAACCATTGAGCCATCGCTCTGAGCCCATTTTAACTGGTTTTAAGAGTCAAAAAGCTGAAACAAGGCGATGTCCACCAGAGACCAGATGCATGCATGTAAATTAGGGCGCACACACTT